CTCTAATATAAGCCTAACAGTAAGTGTACAAATCTTAAAAACCAAATTACAAACAAACATGATAGCTCGAGTTATGTAACTCTAAACCCTTTTCAAACTACGGCGCTCTCCTTAGAAGGCGGGAACATCTCTTCGTTGCAGGCGGGAATTTCTCGATGGGTTGCATAAAGCATTAGCTAGCGGATTTGGATGATTTCTTAGCTTAGTGAAGTACTTCGTCCTGTTTCTTTCAGTTTCAGGCTTAACCAGTAAAATACCAAGGTCTTGATGAATATTAACGTTACCAACGTACTATGGTGCGCCCGTTAGTGCTCTTAAAATTTTTGACTAGAACCTCTGTATTTTATCGATATTAGTTGCACAGGTCGTACCCCACATTTGAATACCATACGTCCAAAATGGTTTTAATACTGCGCTGTAAATAAGGACTTTGTAGTCCAGTTTTATACCGGAGTTTTTATTTAAAAGCCAATTTAAACTAGCTACTGTTAATTTCATGTGTGGTATTTTTGCCTCTATGTGCCTCTTCCAAGTGAGACGTCTATCTAAGTGTATACCGAGATATGTAAAATCATTTACTTGGGGAATACTTATACCATTTAAGCGAATTGCAGGACATGATTGAGGTCTTAAATTAAATGTGACGTGTTTACACTTTTGTTCATTAACTTTATTTGATTTGCAAAGCAATTTGCCTTTTCTTCGTTACTACGTGTCAAGTTACCATTTGGGTCCCTGATTGGCATATTCATTTCTATTGGAGGCTTAAATTTCTTTTGTGCTTTCCACAGTGAGTATTTTTTTGGTAGAATTTGGCGCTCTCCGCAAACGGCGCTTGTTCTTTACTAATTCTTCTATTTCTGTATTTGTTAGGATTTTTGGGCACGTAGTAGGCTTTTTACTTTTTGCAGTTGCTACGGTTGCCGCAGAAACAAGAACATTATTTACCTCATTAATGCAGTCATCAATATTGTTATCACAATTCAATATTGGGTTGATGTCAATATGATTACTAGTATATTTTTTGTATTTTAGCCAGTTGGTTTCTCTGTTTGGTAGTCTTGATTCTTGTGCCACTATTTTCGGGCGGTCGTAAATTTTTATTAGAACTGGTGAGTGGTCTGAAGACAACTCAGCAACTGTAACAGGTGATTCAAGTTGCCTGTCGATTTTTCTTGAGACATCAAAGTCTATTAAGTCAGGTATTTTCTTCCGATCGGTAGGCCAGTATGTTGGTTGACCTGGGGAAACACAGTCCAAATTGTTACGTTTGTTTATAATGGTGTTGTATTGCTGACGGCCTTTGGGGTTTATTATACGGAATCCCCAGTATACATGCTTTGAATTGTAGTCTCCTGCTATAAATCTATCCGCAAGATTATCAACAAATTCCTTAAATTGATTTTCTGTGATCTTAAATTTTGGAGGGCAATAAATGGCTGAGAGATTTAGCTCTTTGCCATAGTTATTCAAGGTTATAGAGGTAGCTTGTAGATAATCGGTGGCATAGGGCTGTAAGACGCAGTGTTTAAGGCGGTTTCTTAGAATTATTCCAGTGCCGCCCTGCGCTTTGCCGTCAAGTGCGTTTCAGACAATAGCATTACGTCTATAGCATACTCTGTTAAAAATCGTGTCAATTCTAATTTATGTTGGTTCACACCGTTTGCATTTCATAAACAAATGTTTAGCACGCTCATTTTTTTGCATGAAGATTTATAGCATGTTATTCTGGGCTTTAATCAAGTCTTGGATCATGCTTTGCATAGTTGACATGAACTGTGTCATGTACTGCGTAAGGCTTAAAATCATCGATTCTACACCTCCATTAGATTGGTTCTGTGGAATATTATCTGAATTATTCTTCAGTACATTCGCATAAGATAATTTATTTTGATTTATATTTTGAACGTTTGGAGCAGCTTTTTCTAAAAATTGGATTTGAGGAGTATTAACCATTCGACTTCGACGAGTCTGGATATTATTTGCCAACCTAACTTTTAGATCTTTATATACAGGGCAGCCCCTATAATTGGCAGTGTGATTACCTCAACAATTACTACATTTTTTCATGGTGGCATCATCTTTTTTTGACGTGCATTCAGACGTGGGATGTAGGTCCCCACATGCACCGCAAACACTGCGTATTTGCATGAAGTTTTTTAGATAAATAATCGGCGTTTTTTAACCGGTGAAGCGATTTTTCGGCCGAGATTCTCCTTCAATTCACAGTTTTGCGTCTTGTTGTTTTTCCAACCAGTGGTGATGCTTTTTTATGAGCAGACCACACACCAGTTCTAATAAAAATTTACGAGCGCCCGAAGATAGTTGCACAAGAATCAAGACTAACTAACAGAGAAACTGACTGGCTAAATACAAAAAAGATATACTAGTAGCCATATTAACATCAACTCAATATTGAAGTGCAAAAAAGATATTGATTACTACTTTAAAGTGCTCAATAATGCCCTGGTTTTTTCGGCAACCATAACAACTCCAAAAAGTATAAAGCCTCCTACTAAGTGCCCAAAAATCCAGAATTAGTAAAGAACAAGCGCCGTTTGCGGAGAGAATGGCAAGAATATCGCTCTCCAACAGCAAAGTTACGGTTGAAAGCAGCAGAGAGGAAGCTGAAAAATTCACTGAAACAAGCAGAAAATCACAATGCCAAGGCATACAAAATACTCCCTCTGTAAGCACAAAAGAAATTTAAGCCTCCAATAGAAATGAATATGCCAATCAGGGACCCAAATGGTAGCTCGACACGTAGTAACGAAGTAAATGCAAATTGCTTTGAAAAACATGTAATGTATTCCAGCCAAATGCCGCAACTACTAATAATTTTATTTTGCCGGAATTTTTTATAAACGGCCAGGCAAATCAGGTGGCAATTAAAATATCAAGCCTAGAAGTGGTAAACGCGATACAGAAACTGAATCCAAAGAAATCTTCAGGCCACGACCTTATTACATCAAAAATGCTAATATAGCTACCAAGAGTTACACAGGCATTGCTCTCTGAACTTGAATGCCATTCTAAAACTAAATTACTTTCCAAAAGCGTGAAAAAATCCGCAGATATTAATGATAGACTACTCACAGGCGGCTTCTTAAAGACCAATAAGCCAGTCTTTCCCACTCTACCAAGTCTTTCAAAATTATTTGAGAAAAATTCTGTTATCAAAAATATCTCATTTTCTCCACCGTAACAATGTGATACCAGATCACCAATTCGGCTTTCGTGAAAAGCATAGTACTATTAAACAAGTTAATCGAATAACCAATGAAATCAGAGAGGCATTCGAGCTAAAGGAGTATTGGTGTGCAATCTTCCTTGACGTAGCACAAGCGTTCGACAAAGTCTGGCATAAAGGTTTACTGTACAAAATACATAGAGCTCTGCCTGCTCAATTTTATATGATACTTAAGTCATATCAGACTAACAGACAATTTACCATTAAACAATCTGAATTTGTCAGTGAGGAGTATCCGGTAAAAGCTGGTGTTCCGCAAAGTAGCGTCCAGCAAAAACGATTAGTGATCATTTACTCCTCATCGAAGAATGTCTAGAAAACTGGAGAATTAAAGTTAATGAAAAAAGTGTAAATACGTTACATTTACCTTAAGACCGTAATCATGTCCTGCAATTCGCTTAAATGGTATAAACATTCCCCAAGTAAATGATTTTACATATCTCGGTATACACTTAGATAGACGTCTCACTTGGAAGAGGCACATAGAGGCAAAAATACCACACATGAAATTAACAGTAGCTAGTTTAAATTGGCTTTTAAATAAAAACTCCGGTATAAAACTGGACTACAAAGTCCTTATTTACAGCGCAGTATTAAAACCAATTTGGATGTACGGTATTCAACTGTGGGGTACGACTTGTGCAACTAATATCGATAAAATACAGAGGTTCCAGTCTAAAATTTTAAGAGCACTAACGGGCGCACCATAGTACGTTGGTAACGTTAATATTCATCAAGACCTTGGTATTTTACTGGTTAAGCCTGAGAAATTCCCGCCTGCAAAGAAGAGATGTTCCCGCCTTCTAAGGAGAGCGCCGTAGTTTGAAAAGGGTTAAGAGTTACATAACTCGAGCTATCATGTTTGTTTGTAATTTAGTTTTTAAGATTTGTACACTTACTATTAGGCTTATATTATAGCAGATCCAGTAAATAAATGAATTCTGTATTTTTAAGCGTTTTTCTATCTACGAATGCGTCTTGCTTTCTCCTTCAATTCTCGTTATCTATCGCACACCGCAGGTGTAGTGGTCGATCGCAACGTTCCGAAGTAGGCATTTTTTCATAGCCCAATAGTTTGACAATCTTCTTTGTACCAGTTTTTTCGACCTTCCAGAAAACCAATAGTTTCGTTTGCAGGTGTACGTAGAGAGTTTGAAATGCTGTCCCCAGCGATGGCAACTTTTGGACGCCGAACCTTCTTTATGTTTGCTAATGAGTGTTCTTTACTACACAGAGGCGGGTGTGAATTTTTATTGCTACAAGATCAATAACAATGAAGACATATCGATCGTGTAACACAATATGACAGATCTGGCTGTGGACTTTGCTCCAGGCGTTCATAAAATGCATCCTTGGTCACATCGTCCTCCTCTTCCGTCAGGGAGTGAACGCAAATCAGCGGTATGTTAAACAGTTTGATGCGGATCGCGGGGTTGACGTTTATTTACCGGTGTGATTGCCAGGATGGAGCGAGTTTCCCTCCCACTAAGAATCCGAATCCGTCTTTGCGCCCCTTCATAAGGCCGCTGTATAATTTCACAAGGGTCTATTCATCTTCCTGGTCTCGTCCATCTGAGTTCTTAGGCAACGATGATGTCTGCATTTAGTCTTACCGGAACACCAACCAGTTGGACAACGGCATATTCCCAAATAAGGGATCTGGTTGTTTTGATACACGCGGAAAATACATAAAGACCTTAACAGCAGATACATGTAATTATTTATTTATTTAATTTTTACCAAATTATTAGAAAAAATTATTTTTTTCGGCTTGTACAGATAGGGTTTATTGAAGCAATGAGCCGACAATAACAGGCACCAAAAATGTGGTCATCTATTTTAATTGAAATATTCGAATATCATTATAAACCTAAGAAACAATAACCCTAAACCAAAAGACTATTGTGGACCGCAAACAAAAAATTGATTTTTTCAAAGTATTCCATGGTCTGTGAAATGTATTTTATAAATATAATTAATATTTTGCGCTTTCGTTCCTTTTTTAAAACAGAATCAGATTACACATATATTATTTATTTTTTTCACTTCGAAATTTATATAGCAGATAAGACATTTTGATGCCTTTAAGTGTTAGACACACATAAAAAAAACTCCATATCGTTAAAATCAAAAAAACACCCATGCAAATCGGTTGAGCTATTGGAACAATAAATATGTTGAATCGCATCAAAAAAAGTACCATCGATGGCAAGTCCTCAAGATCCTGTAAAAAGAGAATAGAATAATAGTTTTAATATAATAATAATAAGTAGTCTGAATTGTACAAGTAAGATTGCTTTCATGAATAAGTAAAGACTGTCAGATTTTCTCAATTCTATCTCTAATTTTTGTTCAAATACAATCTTATTACATTCAACGAATAATTCATCAACAAAAATATTTATATATACTGTTATTCCATATTAAACGTATATAAGGCTGCGCGGGATGGCCTTTGATTTGGCTGAAACTCGGCAAATAGTTTAATGCCAAGCTGATCAGCTTGAAACATTTTGGATATTGTTTCCTTGGAGTTTTGTGCGCGGAAAAAACAGCGGAAATCGCGAATCCAAGTTGGAGCGTGCATTTATTTTGAGAGCAAACAATTAATTATGGAAGTCAACAATCGGGACAATTGTGACTAATACAAATGACTAAAATTTTGTAACATTTGAGAACACCAAATATTGTAAAAATTATCGGACTTTCGCATATTTGCGGCAATAATTTGATGCAATGATGGCAATAACACACCTATTTCTATTGTGCTTACCTCAAAATGAGTTAGAAAGAAGTTTTTCAGGCAACTCTACCATCTGATTTTTTAATGTTCACATACTTGCTCACTTCAAAAATTCCTTACTTCTGTCCATTTGAGGCTCCATTTCGGAAAGATATTAATTTTAAAGGTAATTTATTTTTTTAATTTAAAATAGTTTGGTCAAATAAAGAATTCCATCAAAGAAATTGTTTGCATGAAAATTTTTAAATCAGATGCAGGAGAAATGTAGTTACACCAAATTTTAGGCTAAAAAAATAAATCTGATAGCTCACCCTTAAAGTTTAATGCTTAAACTTAAAATATATCTTTTATAACTGGAACTTAAAACTTATGTAGTAAATCCTTGGACTTTTTTCAAGTTTCCTAAGATAAATATTTAAAGTCATATAATTTTTTCAATGAAATCATATATATATTATAACGCTTGAACCTTTATGTGAAACACTACATCATTCAAATGACCACCTGGAGAATTTTTGCAAAAATCGATCCGTTTGCAAAATGAAATATTTGTAAACATGGTGATTAGAATTTGAACCTGATAAATTCTTGTGGGGTATTGGGCATTTGACCTCCTCCGTGGCTTTAGGTGTATAAATGGAGAGACCTTTTGTAACAATGTCAGAAATATACACAGTGGATTAGCAACAATTAGAGTTATTTTGTTTTAGTTTTTCATGTTGGTTTAACCCTCAGAATTGTAACATTCGCTGGTGACTCGTCTATCGTGGTCGAGAATAATTAGGAGTAAGCAAGATCTTTTATTTGTTTTCTTTCTTTTAATCTCAGAGAGTAGTAAGTCAATTAGAAAGGTTTCCGAAACGAAAATGACGAAAAAATATAGGGACCATAAACACTACTCACATTTTTAGCCTTACTGATGTTCCTGCTCGAAGAAAAATTTTAGAATATAGCGTACTTTCTATTTGTTGGTATCAATCTTTGACATGCGCTCAAACACTACTGTTAAATGATCAACACTTCTCGTCTTCTTTAGTACAAAATATCGTATTTATAGCGCCATCTAGCTTAATCCAATTGGTCTTATAGAACGAGATATGCAGATCACTAAAGCCATATTTATTGCAAAAATAATAGGTGACCATTTACTTGACCCAATATATTTATAATTTGAAAACAGAAATCGTATTCAACACAGTTAGATTTCTAAAAAAAATCTAAGAACCTAGTCACATTTAAGTGAGGATACTTATTCCATGAAAACCGTATACTTCAAAATTATTCTACAACTCTCCCATTCCCTTCAAAGTATCCCCTTAGGCAGCTATACAACGATTCCAGCGCGTTTTAGACGCTTTGTAACATTTCTGGAATGCTTCGAATGGAATGCCCGAGGAACAAAAAAGTCACAGGGTGACATATCGGGCGAATAAGGCGGTTGTTGCAACCGCCGTTTCCTTTAGAGTCCAAATACTGGAACACGCTGAGGGCTGTGTGGCACGGGGCATTGTCGTGATGAAGGATCCGGTTGCGAGCGAAATCTGGACGCACCCGTTTACGCAATCTTTCGAGTATTTGGCGATTTCCCGGTGGAAGAAATTCTTTGTGGACGGTTCCACGGCTTTCAAAAAAGGCAACAATCATCGTTTTCGCCTTCGACTTTCTCATGCGAGCTTTTTTCGGTCGGGGGCGTGAGGTGACAACCATTGTGAGCTATGTCACGACCAAGAGCACTATCACTACGCACTTTTACAATTTTAGCGTACGTTTCCGAAGCTGTTTCGCTCAATTTGGCGCAAAATTTTATCGCGACGCGTTGCTCTGGATTTCCTTTTCCCATTTTCGTGACGAGCACCACGAACACACGTTTACTCAACACGACGCAGCAGCCGAACTAAAAAAAGTAAGGCGAGGGCAAATATGTATATCAATGGAAGGAGAAGAATGGTTACCACAATCACGACAATATAATCAGTCTCATCAAATGATCGTCACACCTCTTAGATGGGTCAATCAGAACTATTACCTAGGAAACGATGTCAGCTTGTACTTAGGGCGGATGAGCGGAGGTCTATGTCTCTGCGGCCTCGACAGAAGTCACTAGAAAAGCAGCTATTCTACATTGAGTCTGCTTCAAACAGTGTATGATATGGTTGATATGATCGTGAAAGTTAAGTTTAAAATGAGTAGAGATATAATTATTTTTGTATCGATCAGTGACCAGAGTTTACCGTGGTTAGGACTCTACCCTTTTTTTGCTACCTACATCTTTAAGGTGGGGAGATTACAATAAAGAGATTTAGTGGCAGCGTGGCTGTCAAAATTTATTGTAATTGATATGATTGCCTATTGCAACTAAAAAGTGGATATGGATTTTTTATCGTTTTTTTTTTAAGATTTTCTTCGCTAACGTTCACATCCTAAAATATTAAATATTTAATATGTATATACATCAAACGAATTAAGTAGTCAATAAATAAATGTTTGATTTTGACTTAAACATTTTTCTGAAATACATAAAATATCAAATTAAATATTTTTGGATACTTCGGTTATACACTATATAAAATTAAATTTAATACATTCGTTCTTTTAATAATTACCCGCAATGTTTTACTTACATATTCATACCAAAATGTAGGAATAACCATTTTACTAAATCGTTGTAATTCTTTGCTGTAGCCAGTCATATCTGGCAACGGAATGTTTGATTGGAACCTATATTTTTCTTCAATTGGTATGCCCGAAATAGGTTCAATTATTACCGTCGCTTCGTGGCTCTCTCTGTTTGGAGATAGTCCTTCAAAATGCTCGCTCCAATTATATGATGAACCGTAAAAGTGTGGAAGGGAAAATGCAGAGGGCACGTCGTCTGCAAGTATACATATATGCATAAGACTATAAAATGCGTATTAAAAAATATTTAACAAAAACATGACTTACGATGCATACATGATTTTTCCACTAAAATCTAAATCAAAATTACTCAGGTATACCTAGATTAGTTTAAGCACATAGTTATTAATATGGAATTATTTATTGTATTGTTACTTTTTGGAGCTTTTAGACATTCAATCGATTTTAAGTTTTTATTAGAAGCAAAAGATAATAATTAAACGTAGTGCAAAAAATGATTAAAGATCAGATCATACATGACTGAGCGTGGAAATTTGCAACCCGAGTGGTAAGTAATGTGGAAGGAACGAATGTGAATGTATGCCGGCCATTATAAAAATAATAGAAAATGATTTTAAGTTAAACAATTTTGCTCAACTTTCTAATTATATTTGTCCCTCAGCTTACGAGTGTATGTCTAACGTAAAATAAGAGCTCATAAAATTCCGTCAGCCGTTCGGAGGCAGCTTAGAATATTGAAGGAGAAGCCCAAACTTCGATTTTGTGTGCGGTTACAATGGTTATGTTGAGAATTTCGTAACTAACACAAATCTATTCAATATCAATAAGCTATTCAACAACAGCCGATATTTACATTAGAAGATTTCCTAATGGTGACATATTCACTGTATAAACGTAGTTGGTATATGGTAATCGTTCAAGTATTGTTTTATGGACAAAAATTCAAAATTGCATTTGGAATACTTCACACAGAAGGAGTTGAACTTGTAAGTAGTACTCCTTATAGAATTTTTGGTCTGGGAGCAAGATGCACTTATCTACATGCCAATCATCAACGACTTCTCTAGTTGTGATTCGGGAATGGTTCATAACTATTTGTTTCAATTTTTCTACGTTTCCAACGGTTGTTGGTATGATGGAACACCACCTCTGTTTAATAGAACACAAAAAGGTTACGCACGCTATGCAAACTGCCCCCTGTGTGGATTGCCTGGAGGTAGGAAATCATTGTGAATAATAAAAACACTTTGCTACAGATAAATTAAGCTAAGATAGGAGTGATAAATGAAACTGCAACTAGCCTTCGTATCCTCCACTCGAATGAAATATGATATTATTTCTTAAAAAATAGGAAGGAAAATGAACATAAAATGATTTAATATAGATTATAGAAATTGCAAATGTTATGATACATATACGCAATAACAGAAAGAGTATCAGCAATGCAAGCAAATCAATTTCTTATACAAACTCTGTATCTGTAAGAGATCCAAGTTTGTTCTAGCTGTTATGAAATAATGCAAGCATATGCACATTTTACTTACTAAAAAGACATTTAGATACATCAAACATTCCTTTATGTAGTTTTATCCCCATGGCGTTGTCCAAACAACTCGACCCAACGGAGTCGTCATTAATAGCGAACCGATACCCTGTAAAACCCAAATGCTTCACGATGTCTACATAATTTAATCGATGAGTCCTACAAGCTTCTCCCGCAATAATATTGATTTCACGTAGAGGATCCAAATATGGCGTAAACAACGAATTGTCGAAGGTTTCGGCTAAATCTATCGGACAATACTGATAATCGTGCTTTGAATTTTTTAAACGATTACTTTGTTCGGGAAAATATGTTTTATTATTAAGGTTGTTGACTTTAAAGAAGTTTTCTATGCCATTTTTGGTTCCTATTTTCACATTATATATTTCTTCCTTCTTTTTAAGCGCCTAAAATGATAGGTTAAATTAAAAACAAGTTAATGGAAAGAAGAACTTTAGAATTACATTATGGAGCATTCCACAATTCGAAACAATATTTGGTACGTAGCTCGATAGGGAATTCAATGCAGGTGTTGTAAAATTCCAAAGAAAGTAATTTATAGTTTGTTTTATTAGCGCCGGCTCTTTAACTGTAATGGCGTTAAATGCATATCTGACTAGAAAGACCCAATCATGCAACTTAGCAGCGGTTCCGAATAAAATGAAATTAGGTAAAATAACAGTCTGATTTAATATATCTGGTGCACAACTAGCGTCCGGATCGAATTCTATTTCGTCATAACGTAATTTTTGATAAGTCACACTATCGTCGTTTTGATTTAAAATTTCATTCCTCCCTTTAATGCGATATACAATCGGACCTATTTCTTGCACATTTATTTTCGAGTCGGTGCCATTAAGAAAAGCTTCGCCATTAGTGACATTAAACAGGTAGCTCTTCAGAGTTCCATAGGGAGATGATATCCAATTTCCTTGTGTGGGAAAGCCCTTGCGAAAACGAATGTGCTCTTGTGTTAGTACCCATTGGTAATCAACTTTCAATGATAGTACAAACAGAATGGAGCTCATTGCACCCAACAAAGTCACCGTTACAACTTTACCTGAAATTTTCAGATATATAAAACATTTTTTAAGGTAGAAACACAATTTGTTCTTACACCAAAAGCACTTGTTTTCAGTCATATTATAATGTAGCAAAAAAAACTTAATACAAAATTAAACTTCTTATTAATACAATAACTTCAAAAGTACTTAATTTTCTAATAATTTAATGGTAAATCAAATGGGATGATTCCATGTGGATTAGAAAAAATAAATAAAATAAACATTCTTATCGCACATAGGTATTCCGTACAGGGTGAATAATTCATTTTTTGTTTAATAATTTTGATAAAAAATACTTACGCATTCATAACCTCAAAGACTATTAAATGCAAAAAATCGAATATGATTTGTTGTTTTCATACATGCTAGCCGTTTAAAAAACATTTTACTGTATAATCAATGCATAAATATTTAAAGTTTGAGGCAAAATTTTCTAACATACGAGTTATTGTATAACCCTGTATTCAAGGAATCATAAGGTTAGATGAAATGATTAGAGCAACATTGCTCAACAACATCAAATTACTTACTCATTCATTAAAATAATACATATAATAAGTAGTAAAGTAAGCACATATGAAATAATCTCTCACATAACGAAAGCGAGGAATATTTAGCTCGTGTGATACTAATGTATATTCATAGTTGTTGTTGGAGTTGTTTTGTATTAAAGCTAAGCCTATAGAAACAATTTATAACTCATATGTCGTCACTATTGTAATGTATTATTAAGTGCACCATCAGAAACTATTTAAAAAACTAACCTGCAGAGAGGTGATTAAGTGGATATTCTGCGTAGCCAACGTGGCGTATCCAGATCTTCTTGTTACAGTTAACCTGAAGTAGTGTTGATTGATTTACCATAACTCAGGTGACAACAGCACTGGTTCATACGGAGCAATCAATGAACACGTTACCCCGCTCACGCACAAAAAAAATTCAATAGCATCCTCAAGGAGATTACGGACGGACAGAAAAAATAATAGAGACTTTAAACTGTACGGGGACTACAACCGGCTAATTAGCAAACTATCTCAGACCTACATCCAATCGCCAATCTTTTATCCTAATTTACGACTCAAGCAGAGAAACATATTTTTTCAATCGATCTTATGCGCGCATTCCGCCACATCCCATTAATTGAACTGAAAATCGCCAAAACTAAAGTGATCAACATATTTGGCCAACCTTTCATCAACGAAGCACTTACAGGATTGGAGTTCGCTTACGTCGACATTAATAACCTAATAATTGCATCAAGCAACATATAACAGCAAGAACAAAATATCCGTCCAGTAATTTAATGACTTATTGAATTCGGTATTTACGTCAATAACGACAAATCTGTCGTAAGAGCAAGTTTTGTCGAGTTTTTAGGCTACCATATAACGTCAAAACTGAAATCAGTTGAAAATCAAGGAGATTCGTTCGAGGATCGTAAATAGGCATTGAAAATAGGCCATGAAGGCTTTTATTATTTGAAAATTGAAGAACACAACTTGTACAATTTGTGGTTTCAACAAGATGGTATCATATGTCATACATCATGTGCAAATATGGCGTTATTGCGAGAGAAGTTTCCCTCTCTCTCGTTTTGACGATTTCTATTGAACACCGAAATGCTGTGATTTGACACCATTGGACTTTTTTGTTTGATTTCACGAAAGACCGAGTTTAGATGGTAAATATTAAACTTTTGAGTACTTGAAAACCAACATTCGTCAATTTATGGATGTATATGTTAGAAGGGGATCGAATACTACCTCAAACGAATCGAAGTTTAATAAATTCGATAGACGGTGATTTGCATAATGTATTACTTCACATATATGTATAATGTCAAGGTTCAAACTTTATGATTAATAAGGAATTTTATGAAAAAAATTATTTAAAAACATGTTATTTACGTTTATTTTTGAAACCGCAGATCGGATAAACCTGTTAATAAATTAAAATGTAAGTATCTTATTATACATTCGCTGTTATAGTATACAGTTGCCCAACACTTTTTAATGACTTAATTTGATGGGAAGGAAGTTTGAAAAGCATATTAAATTAATTAGGAACTATCGTTCAGACATAAGAGGGCGATAATAAACTTGAGCTAGACTATTGGAATTGAAGCCTGTGGTAAATATATTGTGGTTTATGCGGATATAGAGTCAATAGCTTTATGACTTTCAACAGTTTATCAAATGAGATTTGTAGTATTCCTTTTTCAAATAATGATACGTAGACAACATTTAACATTTTCCTGCAAACAGAGGCACAATTAGAATAAATTTCACAACCATAAAGAAGCCTATCATGTATCATTAGAATTCTGAATGTTGAAGAGTTCGAAGCACTTCATAAAAAAAAAATAAGTTTCAATTCAATTAAATAAATTTAAACTGTATTTTAAAAAATACTTAATTACGTTTTCAGTTTTAATTTAAGTTACCGATTTTGTTTTTTTTTTCAGTTGTCATTCTTGGATATATTTCACTTTCAAGCGCAAAGTTGCATGAACAAGGAACCAAAATACCAAGGAAATTTGGGTTTTTTATAGTCTCTGGTAGCAGCATCGCTAACCGAAATCCTTTATAATAAACGTCGAATGCATAACCACTTTGTTATATTAATTTCTAAAAACTAGACCTTGTTTTAGTTTGATAAGTAAGTATGAAATACTTACTAAGATTTCACTTATCTTCGGCAGAGCGAAAAGTTATCGCAATTCAATGCCTACATGAACAATGTTCGAAAGAATCCCTGGCATCAAGTAACTCCTGTTGTACGAGGAAAGCCTTTGGATTATGCAATACTCAAGTGAAACACAGACTAGAATATTAATAAACTTTAGATACAGCGATAAGCTGATAGCTCAACTGTTTCCCGCAGAAGAAAAACAGTTTTGTTCAATATATATTATACGGGATTTGAATTTTTCTTTTTGTACAAAAAAACGGACCAGAGTATCGGCCCTTTTTCAGTGAGAGGCTACGTATATTTCACAGAATATGTTCAATTACAACTCTTTAATGTACAATAATCAGAATAAATTTTAGAAACCTTTTTTTTTCTGCCTTCAAAACCCCCCCCCCCCCCCCCCTTAACAGCTACTGATTTGCTTATCACAAATTAAATGGAAATTAAGAAGCTGCTAAGAAGCAGATGAAGAAGGAAATTACTTATTTATTTCAAACCCATAGTATATATTTTTTTAATTCATTTCAAATGAAAGGACTTATCACATTAACTTACTAATTATATACGTATGTTGTAAAAGTTCCCTTTTTTCTATAATACAAACTGAAGCGATTTTCGGCCGAGCTCTTCTTCGAATTTGTAGGGTGCGTCTTGATGTTTTTCCAACGATATTGAGAAATCTAGGCAATGCCAACCTCTCGGCTATTGCGGCCGATATAATAGCTTCAAAATTTATGGGGTAGACCATGACTTTCCAATCTCCCGATAACGATAGAAGACCTACTACGCAATTCATGGGGTGGTGAAATATACAGTATACAACCAGCGGACTGTAATTTGCTAGTTGGAATATTACTTTGACCCCATATACATATATAAACTTTTAAGATAAATAATATCAGCGGAAAGACACTCTTACTCAACCAAAAGAAGTAGGGGTAAATGAACAATGTCTAGAGTTTTAGCTCGTTTTGAATAAACAAATCTTTGGAATAACTTCAGTTTTAAATTAGTATTAATTGGAATTCTTACCACATACCTCTAGTAAAACGGCTTAATCAAAATAGTCTACTTCAGTCTAATTATAAAATAAGCACTACAGGCACTTAAGAGTAATCTGTACTTCTTTTAAATTCCAAACTTTTCAATGCCTCATTAAACCATAAAGCAATAGGTAGAGAAACACTTATCTTCACATCTTCATTGTGCTATGGCCAGGAAATTATAGATAGCACGTTTCTAAGTATAGTATTGTTATATGCGTTTCACCATATTCTTCCATATTTCAGCAAAGCCATTCCATGTAGTCCCGAAAAAATTAGAGATGCTAATCACTTTCCATCGCTTATCATGTCAAGAACACGACCGGCGCTTTTAGCTTAGGCAAGCTCATCACAGCCAACCAGAAATATCATGCTCTCTATCACTTTTCAATGCAGCAGTTGCTTGAATTTTGCATAAACAGAATCGAAGAAACTCTTTAATAATACTTAGTTAAAATTTCCGGTTTACACGGACATATAATTTCAATCTCTAAGCGGCAATCTAAGCGACAAATTATTGCAAGCAAGTTATACATATACCTTGGTCCTATGAGAGGAATTTATGGTTGAACGGCTAAGAACACGTCAAATTACATCATTGTTGTACAATAATTTTTGAATTACTTCTGTAAAAATTAACAGATTTAATTAATTGGTTAATGTTACTAATATTTCTCACCGAACAGAGCTAATAATTTAAAAGCACTCTCATTCTCTCTTCGCAGTCGGATTTATAGCTATCTGCCATTAAATGTGTTTCATCTTTATCGTGCTAACTGTTCTATTAAAAAAATTTTACTATTTTGAAAAAAAAAATATGTACGAGTACATGGAGAATTGTAATAACTTTTAAAATTGATTTAACATAAGAAACTACTTTAAAAGGACAAACTAGTCCATGAGTTTTAAAAATACTTTAGGAAATTTTGTGAGAAGTCAGGATATTGCCTTAATAATTTATTTGCTTTTGAAAGTGCTGAAAATGCTGAAAATGTTTGCGCATGCAAACATCTCATAATTTTATCGTTAAAATACTTCCCAACATTTCTAACCACCAAATATATATACATATCAAAAATTAATATTAAAAAAAAAATGTAAATAGATTCAACTTTTAATTTTAGAAATTTTTCTGCAAACCAAACTATCGTACAGGTTTTATATCCACCCTAATCATTTTTCATTTTTTGGTTTAATATTTCTATACGATGATTTGTCCAGAATATATACATTTGGAATGCAAAACGGCTCTTTTCCCTTTGGCCATGGATATCTCAGTAACCAGGGCAAATTCGGTTAACTTCAACCTCTTTGAACAAGGTCAATTTCAATTATCCTTCTTCTTTCTGAAATCGAATTTAATGTTCCGTTTAGAACAGCGATACATTTTTCAACCTTATTGCTAAAAACTTATGACAAGAATTTTGAATTTAACGCATTCTTGCATTGTTTGTATGTTGATTCATTGATTTGACATATCTGACATGATTTTCATATTTATTCATTATTAAATATCATAGACTCGTGAACTTTCATATATGCATATAATTGAGATAACTTACTTATTTAAAATCAGATGATGAATTTTTATCATCGTTACTCGGTGTTAATATAAAGAAAGACAAAGGATCCGTACGTTAACAAAAAGTAGTCCGTAGTTAAACAAAACTTATAAATACTGTGTGAACAAACAAGAATTGCTGCTTAATAAAAAGCTGATACCCTAATCCGCTTGCTTATAAATACATATTTATATTTTATCGATTATAAATATTATGGATATTCCTCAAGGTCTTTCGGTCGTTCTCCGCTCTTATTCTCAGGCTGAACTCTATGTGAACTTTAAATTGGCACAGTAATATACATACATGACTTGTTTTAATATCACAAATTATATTTTAAATAATAATTAATTAATAATTTTAACTCCAGCAGTTTGGAAAATTCCAGTGGCATGATTCGGGGCGAGGATCGGTTCTTTTATTGTACATATATTAAGGAAACAAGTTACGTGGATTTGTGTTAATGTAGCTGTGTAACCTTAAATAAATATAGGTACATGTTTAATTGTGGAAATAAACAACATCATTCTGGTTATTAAAGCCACATTAGTAGTTTCAAAATCAGCCTATATGTCCATTACTCATCTTGTCGTTTACCATTTTCTCGTTTGTTGACATTGCGACCAATGGAATTTAAATAAACAAATAAAGGAAAAAATCTCATCCAATATGATCTCAAAGTCCCATTTACATACATATCTGTACGTATGTGTTTTCTCCGAAATCTCAATGACAGGTCATTTTGGCACAGACGAAGGAAAAAAGGTAAATAAAGCAATATCTTAATTACATAAGGAAGGCAAAAGAAGCATCAATTTAAATTAAAATCCGGTTTTCACTACGAGCATTATAAGTACACTGTGAACATTTTCAATATGATTTTATATCTTTAGTTGCAGGTAAATATGTATATTGCGATATAAAAGTTAGAGTGTGTGTGATTATAATTATAGTTAATAGAGACTTATGTAGTTATTAATAATATTGAGAAAATGGAGTAATATTAGAAAACAAGGAAATTCGGAGAATATTTGGATCTTTCATATACATATTTATATTTACATACATATATACATAAAACAAATGTTTTCACATGTATGTGAGTTTCCTTATGTGTACATACATACATATGTATATTATATGTGTAGATAAGTGCGTACCTACTTATATTTATATATAATATAAGTAGTATTGACGTAAAAGTCAGAAAGATCGCAAAGTATGAACTGGTTGCGTTAACAAGAGGCATTTGCGTAGCGTGTAATGTATACTACCAATTTTTGGGCTATATAAAGTGGTAAAATTTCGCTTTCATGTAATTATAGTCCAGCTCTCCGGTCGTCCAGTGTGAAGTGCTTAGCCCTTGGGATAAATTTTTAAAAGTGAGGAAAAAAATGCACCAATTAAATAATTTGTGTTCATAATAGTTATCAATTGTTATACATGACTTGGAGTATATAGCTTTCACCAGTGTATTTCAGTAAAATAATAAGAATAAAAATACACTTATATAATTGTTTTGATGTTTTTAATGCTTTAAATTGTGAATAAAAATATTTGGATATATTTTAATGTTACATATTTGTACAAGCATTTATCTGTTGTATTGAATATATACTTAAGTATGTGCAAGTTTATACTGAAATATATATAAAAAGTTCATAGAAATGTTTAAGAATTATTAAAATTGTCACGTCCAATCTTCTTAACAATTCACATAAACTGTAGCTAAATACGGATCAACATATATATGTGAATATAAAATACATGTGCATATGTATACTAGTATATGTGAAGATATAATTTTGGTAAAATGTGCTGTTACATAGATTTTGTCTTACGCTTCCTCTTACTTTAGTACAAAAACATTATGATTACAATCTTTTTATTCGATTTCTTCATGTAAAACGAGTTTTGAAATATAATATACATATATTGTTACAGTTATAGTGATTTAAACACTAAACACCTTTCGATTAATTTAATTGGCAGCACATACATATGAAACGTTAGAAGATTTTTATAAAAAATGAGAGTGAAGACTTTGAAGAAATTTGACATCTTCGTTGTGCCGAAATATTTCTTTTTGTTTTTGTTCAACAACGTAACAAAAGAATATATGAGAAATAGTATACTTCTCACAACGTAAAGTCAACCGATCAAAGAGAAAAATAGCTTAAAAATCATATGCTTGGGATAGTTACGATTAAGCTCTTTAAAAGAATTACCACTTAAAGTAGAGGCGAACACGAAACATTAAATTTCGTATAATACCAGATTTGCGTGTTTCCCCCTATTTTCAGCTTTTGCAATCAAAAGTTATTTGGACAGAATTCAATAAAAAGTTGAATAACTAAAATAGGGTTTTTCTAATAAAAATGAAATATATTCACCATATGACAGTTAACGACAATTTTTTCCATCATTACTTTACTACTGATTTATGCCCAACATTTTTTCAAAATAATTTAGCATTTCGTTCTTTGGATTTAATTAAAGCACAAGTAGAGGGACATGAAGTGCAAATGTTACTTCTTCACTTTGTAAAATTTGTATATTCAAATTCAAGGTCAAAAACCCAATTTGAGTTTTCGAAATAAACGATTCGTATAAATTCATTTCATTATTTTTTGTAATTCGTTGATGTTAAATGAACAGTGGTAATTATTGTCTTTTTTCTTTCAGAAAAATATGAAGACAACATTTTTAATATGTTTAATTACTATCGCAGTTCAGCTCGCATTAGCGCAAAAATATACAAATAAATTTGATAATGTGGACGTGGATGGTGTTTTGTCAAATAATCGTATTCTAACGAACTACATAAAGTGTCTAATGGAAAAAGGACCTTGTACTCCAGAGGGTCGGGAGCTGAAAAGTAAATATAACTTAATGGTATTCTATATATTTCTGCTCTCTTACCAATTTTTCTTTCAGAATTATTACCAGATGCGTTGCAAACAGATTGCTCCAAATGTACAGAAACACAAAGGAAGAATTCACAAAAGGTCATAAACTTTCTACGCTCAAACCGACCAGGGGAATGGAAACTACTTCTGGATAAATATGACTCAAGAGGAGTTTACCGGTCTAAATATGAGAAACAAGGTTGAACGTAAATTTCATGAAATTTTCATATAACGATATATAATATACATGCGTAAATTGTTACTTCAATAAATCTGTACGTTCTACACATTCACACATTTATGTAAATATTTTGTTCTCCATATTTTGCTCAAAACATTGAATAGATGTTAGTGAAACTGTTGCAACTTTGTACTGACTCTGCCAAGTTGAGGGTCAAAACCATTAAGAGACTTCATTACACGGCAGAGCCAGTTTGATTTTCTACGTACTCGTAGTGTGACCTCAGAAACTGAATACTGTTAATATTATTATACATATAATATAAAAATATTATAATTAAAGTTACAATAAATTTTCAAGACAAGGGTTCAACCTTGTAGGGTTATCGGTTAAATTTGGTATATATAGTGGGCCAATAAAGTCTACATATCCTCCCCAAATGGATAAGCTTTAAAAAGTTGAATATGTTTTTGATAAATATTTTCTTGGAGCGTGGCACACGGCTATAGGATCTTGTAGAAAAATTTTGCTCGGTAGTGATTTTAGGGCGGTCATTCTATCAAAGATGAACTGCAAATTGGTTCGTTGACTGTGACTGCTTCTTTTTCAAGTTAATAAGTAAATTTTTAAGTCAATAAAAAATAGTGTAAATAGTTTCGGTAGTTTTCGGTGTAACTATAACTGTTGAAGAATTTTACAACGTTCAAATTTAGGTGGTCTGGTAATGAAGATAGCCATTTTAAAATTAGCAGTTTCAATATTGACAATTTCATTTCGATGACACGGCGCCAAAACGAAACAAAATCATTTTGTTAAGACTTTTTTTTGATAGAAGCTTCATTTCCTTATCCGCAATGAAGTTTTAATTAGAGAATTGCATGTTAACTGAAGATGCCCTAGGATAAACAACCAGGGACAAACGCAGAATAGAGGCAGATTCTTTTTATTATATTTCAGTATGGTGAGTTTTTTCCAAAACATTTTAATCAATTCTATTAATTATTTAGTAAAAAATGTCTAGAGAAATCGCAAAATAAAAAAGGTAAAAACTCCAATTATATTAGGTGTGGTAAAAATAAATGCATTATTTTGCTTAAAATTGTAGGCCTTAATTTTTTCTTTTTGTTTCCAACCTTATACAAAATGTTCCAAACGGTTTTATGTGCATTTTTTAGTTGTTGGACAATCGAAACAAAGCCTACATGACGGTCGGACTCGACAATTTCCATGCTTTTATGGAAATTTTCGACAATTAGCCTTTCACTCCGTGAAGCATCTATCTTTTACATCAATTATCGGAATCACACCAAAACTGTGCATGTTTGACTGTAACAGTATCAGGATCATAAGCTCTATTTACATTTTCAACCGCCTGGCTTGCGTTTTCGTCCTTATCGAAGAAAAACTGTAAAATACAAAGTATTTTCTCTTTGCTAGTGTAAAGCTTTGACGAACCCTCAAACAAAACAGAATCAACTAATCACAAAACTATCAGAAAGTCTTTTTTTGGTACGAAATGTCGTCTTTCAAACGCCATCTACCTGAACGAACGGTCGGACCTATACAACGCGATATACAGAAAAATAATCTGTTTGTAAAGGTCGAACCAGAAAGCCTTGTTACACTGTCCTTTTTGCTAGATCGTAACAAAGTGATACCAGAACAGCAATTCGTGACAAAACACACTATTGTAGAACACGTAGGCATTCTAGCCAATTTTACAATATACTTGTATTTAAGTCATATCTGCTTCACATAGCGGTTTACCGTTAAACAATCGGAACTCATTGCTAGTTCGTGTTCCTCAAAGTAGCATTTTTGGGCCTATATGCTCATGGAAGGATGGCTGACGAATTGGAGAATTAAAGTCTCATTGAAAGTGTAATCACGTTACGTTTACGTCCACAAACAATAATAACAATATTGAGAAAATTCAGAGTTTCCAGTCCAATATTCAAAAGGTAATTACGCACGCATCAAGTGTTTGAAGTTTTTTTTATAATAAACATCATGCAATTATATTTTTTAGATTCATACCGCTGTTACCGAATTTGTCTATTTTTATTAGTTTAGTTTAAATTGAATCACGATTGATTTTCCAACAAAACGCAATCAATTAACTTGTAAGGTACGTGGTTATTTTCAGTGCACTTAACAATTTGTCGTGTGATAATATAACTATTTTTTTAAATAATTAAAACTGTGCTCAAAGTGCTTGTGATGTATTACATTTACCGCGTTTTAATTAAGCGAAATAAAAATCGAGAACATTCATTGTAATAATTTTTAATTTGCATGATAAAGTTGTAATTAACTTTCTTAGAGTTAGCGGGAAACGTTCATTTTCGATTATCATTTTATAAAACCACATAGTTTTTGTTGTTGATTTTAAATTTCACAGTAACATAAGAAATCGTCTTTCGCACAAACACACACTTATACTGCAATAATTTTCTTTCTGCAAATTTTTCTCAAGAGTTCGCGTTATTCTAATATTTTGAATTCTTTTCCCCACTTTAGTTCTAATATAATCGAGACATTTCAAAATTATTTTTGTTCTTTTTATTTTAAACACCACTGTACATATACAAGCTTTCGAATCAACACTCATTTGCCAAACAAAAGTGCAAATATTACATAAGCCCAGTAAAACACTTTTTTGTTATTTACTCAAATAAAGTTGAGTTGCTGTCGACCTTTGTTTCTACATACCTATTTTTCCAGTATATTGCAGCAGTTGCTATATTGCAATTTAAAAACATATATGTACATACATTCATACAATTGCGTTGGAGCTTTTGGCCACAGTAACACATATTTCTTATTTGAAACATAATAATAAAAATAAAAGATTCATTTATGCGGATTCGCTTGATTTTAATCATTTGGTATGCTGTTATTTGTATCCATTAAATAAGAGCATATAAATATATATTTATAATTGCAACGGCATATTAATAATTGCAACCCGTCATTACAATGTCATAGAATTGATATTTCTAAGACATGCTCAGCAAAGACTGAAATCTGGAAAGGAAGGTAATATTTCAATTAAAATGATCAATTCTTATCATGCAAATACAAACAAAGGAGTGTTACTAGGGACAGCACAAGTACAAATACATTTCAATGGCAATAATTTCTCGGGTAGAGCATTGACAGACTCTGGATCTGGATGTACTTTCATAACTGAAATATTAAAATGTCTCAGACTTAAACAATACAATGAATGCGCATGTAAAAGAACTTTGTGCATTTCACTTACGGTCACCCATTGATCCTTTAATAAACTTAGAGTCGACCGTTTCTTGACAGAGGAGTTGCCTACTGCTGCCAGGTAAGCACAATGACGCGACTGGCATTCCCAGAATTAGTTTGGCATACAAGAACTTATTCGTGAATGAACCAGTTGACCTCGTTTTAGGAGAAGAAACGGTCGGAATCAAAAACTGTCACCATGTGAATTCAAACTCCACCCCAGCAGATCTTGTCAGCATAGGATCATGCCCCAAATCTTGTGGTGGCAGGGACCTTCTGGGTTACAAGAGAACCGTACTAAATGGTCAGCGAACGATTGAGGAGAAAAGAGTGCATACTCATATAACATCGATAGTAAACATTCCCAAGAAATTTTGAACAGATTTTCGAAATACTCGTGGGCTTTGAGTTATCTCCTATATAAGCAAATTTTGTCAAAGAGCATATTCGAAAACAAAGTCTTCTTTTAAGATCGAAACCATGTCGATTTCGCCAAAGAAATCAAGATTACGGCTCAGTGCCTAAATAAAATTGGTCAAAAACGTTATTAATAGCGAAGAATATTAAGTCTTGAAATCCCGAAAATCTATTGGGGAGAGAAATGAAGTCCTGCCTCTTTACTAACTCATCGATAAATATGGCATCTTGTGACCTATCTTATAACAAACGTCATCCTATAATTCTTCCTTATAGTTCGGGGTTATCCGTCCACCTTTACGTCAAGTTTGTCCACCAAGTGTCTCCTACCATGGGGAAAATAAGCTGATGCTGCGGCTCATCCGATCACAGTTCTGGATGCCTAATCGTCGCAAACTCAATTTATGAGAATCCCTTACTACTTTTTCCAGAACGTTCACAAATACTGAAGTTGATTTTCATAATTTCACGACTGCTGCCAGGTGATTTCACCATAGTTTGAAATTATCTCTGAGTAAACACGTGATAACAAGTTTTGAATATAGTTTTAAGATTTGTACACTTACTATTAATCGAAATGGATATAATTTATGTATATATGAAACCAAGTAAATATTTTTTCAAACGAAAAATCTAATTTCATTCAATTTCAGAGAAAATGCACGATCCGTTACTCTAGGTTGTTTTTACATAACCATTGTACACTCGGCCGTAAGATCAGAATGGTGGCCCCAATATTAACAAATTGATAGTCATATAGAATTGAGGTACTCGTTTCTTTATGTTTATAACGATATGAATTAATAAAATTTCTTAAATTCTTCAACTACAACCTCTCCGTCCACTGACCGAACATGGTATAAGGTCACAATACCTTTCGTTTTATTCTACGTATTTAAAAGTAATTTTTTAGTCTATTATATATAAGGCTTAATAAAATTTAAGTAAGAGTTTATGAAGCATTTTTACAATATATTAACTTATAACAAATAATTCATTTAACGAGGCCTGGCTATGTTGGTATAACGTACAATTCAAAACGCATCGGTGATTAATAAATGATTTTCTCAATTATAATTAAGGTGAATTTAATTTCGGTCAACGCTTTTTCTAATCTCTATTTCTTTTAAATATCAAAAAAAATGTATACTACGAATGTTTTAATTTTACATTGAATTTGAAATCAATTAGAAATCGGTTAGAACTGTGAGTAAAAATTAGCCAAGAACGAAATTGATAGTAGGAATTGATAGTAGGACGTCTTACTTTCCTAAAGAAAAAAAATATCCTGAGTTTTTACCGAACAGGATTCGATAAAAGTCAGCAAATAAATTGTACTCATATCATAACAGTAGTTTGTTTTGACAGTTATATTTGAATCTGTTCATTATTAGTTTATTCTTTTCTGCTTTTAAGCACTTTCCAAAGTAATTTAATAAAATTTGTAATTA